CCGAATCCGCCTTTCATTTGGATTGGCTATCAACTTTGAACACCCCCAACCGTCCCTGCCAGTGAGCTCAATGCCGTATAATCTGGGGCCCAATGTCCTCTCTCTAGGCCTGTTGGCCCACCAACCGCTCCTACCAGTAAGCCCAACGCCTTTCTCTCTTAGGACCGTTGGCCCACCACTGTCTGACGGTTGGCCTCTTTTTAGGGCCATGGCCTCACCCCTGTCCGTCGGTCGGGAGTCGCTTGGTCCGGGATGGCTCGTAAGAGTTGTCTACTGTCCCTGCAATCACCACATGATTTTTCCTCATGCTTTGTCTTCACTCGCACGGTACTGCAGACTACTTCCCGGTAGGTCACCCATCCTGAGATTACTCCAGCATCAGCACGCTTAACTCTGGAGTTCTCTAAAGACACTTCACCAGAAAAGATAAGTGCACTTTGATGACATAGGTAGCCAAATCAATTCTTATAAGCCTTTTTTCACATATACTGGAAATCAGGATGTCACAATTCTCCCCGACTTCCAAGGAATTCGACCTCAAATTCTCAACCACGTCCCAAGAGGCTACCCAGATCAGAGCCGGTTAGCTAACCTTGGCTCTGATACCAATTGTGAGACCCTGCTCCCTTCATTCCTAACCGGGAACCAGACAGACCGGCTATCAAATCCATGAGGACCCGAATCCGCCTTTCATCTGGATTGGCTATCAACTTTGAACGCCCCCAACCGCCCCTACCAGTGAGTCCAATGACGTATAATCTGTGGCCCAACATCCTCTCTCTAGGCCCGTTGGCCCACCAACCACCGCTACCAGTGAGCCCAACGCCTTTATCTTTTAGGACCGTTGGCCCACCACTCTCCGGCGGTTGGCCTCTTTTTAGTCCCATGGGCTCACCCCTGTCCGACGGTCGGGAGTCGCTTGGTCCGGGAGGCATGTAAGAGTTGTCTACTGTCCCTGCAATCACCACGTGATCTTTCTCCGTGCTATGTCCTCACTCGCACGGTACCGCAGACTACTTCCCGGTAGGGCACCGATCCTGAGATTACTCAAGCATCAGCACGCTTAAATCTGGAGTTCTCTCAAGACACTTGACCGGAAAAGATAAGTGCACTTTGATGACATAGGTAGCCAAATCAATTCTTATAAGCCTTTTTTCGTATATACCAAAAATCAGGATGTCACAATTCTCCCCGACTTCCAAAGAATTCGTCCTCGAATTCTCAACCACGTCCCAAGACGTTACCCGGGTCAGAGCCAGTTAGCTAACCTTGGCTCTAATACCAATTGTGAGACCCTGCTCCCTTCTTTCCTAACCGAGAACCAGATAGACCGGCTATCAAATCCATGAGACCTCGAATCCGCCTTTCATCTAGATTGGCTATCAACTTTGAACGCCCCCAACCGTCCCTACCAGTGAGTCCAATGCCGTATAATCTGTGGCCCAACATCCTCTCTCTAGGCCCGTTGGCCCACCAACTGCCCCTACCAGTGAGCCCAACGCCATTCTCTCTTAGGACCGTTGGCCGACCACTCTCTGACGGTTGGCCTCTTTTTAGTCCCACGGGCTCACCCCTGTCAGACGGTCGGGAGTCGCTTGGTTCGGAAGGCTTGTAAGAGTTGTCTACTGTCCCTGCAATCACCACGTAATCTTTCTCCGTGCTATGTCCTCACTCGCACGGTACCGCAGACTACTTCCCGGTAGGTCACCCATCCTAAGATTACTCAAGCATCAGCACGCTTAACTCTGGAGTTCTCTCAAGACACTTAATCGGAATAGATAAGTGCACTTTGATGACATAGGTAGCCAAATCAATTCTTATAAGCCTTTTTTCGCATATACCAGAAATCAGGATGTCACAATTCTCCCCGACTTCCAAGGAATTCGTCCTTGAATTCTCAACCACGTCCCAAGACGTTACCCGGGTCAGAGCCGGTTAGCTAACCTTGGCTCTGATCCCAATTGTGAGACCCTGCTCCCTTCTTTCTTAACCGGGAACCAGACGGACCGGCTATCACATCCATGAGACCTCGAATCCGCCTTTCATCTAGATTGGCTATCAACTTTGAACGCCCCCAACCATCCCTACCAGTGAGTCCAATGCCGTATAATATGTGGCCCAACATCCTCTCTCTAGGCCCGTTGGCCCACCAACTGCCCCTACCAGTGAGCCCAACGCCTTTCTCTCTTAGGACCGTTGGCCCACCACTCTCCGACGGTTGGCCTCTTTTTAGGCCTATGGGCTCACCCCTGTCCGACAGTCGGGACACGCTTGGTCCGGGAGGGTTGTAAGAGTTGTCTACTGTCTCTGCAATCACCACGTGATCTTTCTCCGTGCTATGTCCTCACTCGCACGGTACCGCAGACTACTTCCCGGTAGGTCACCCATCCTGAGATTACTCAAGCATCAGCACGCTTAACTCTGGAGTTCTCTCAAGACACTCGACCAGAAAAGATAAGTGCACTTTGATGACATAGGTAGTCAAATCAATTCTTATATGCCTTTTTCGCATATACCGGAAATCAGGATGTCACAATTCTCCCCGACTTCCAAGGAATTCGTCCTTGAATTCTCAACCACGTCCCAAGACGTTACCCGGGTCAGAGCCGGTTAGCTAACCTTGGCTCTGATACCAATTGTGAGACCCTGCTCCCTTCTTTCCTAACCGGGAACCAGACAGACCGGCTATCAAATCCATGAGACCCCGAATCTGCCTTTCATCTGGATTGGCTATCAACTTTGAACGCCCCCAACCGCCCCTACCAGTGAGTCTAATGCCGTATAATCTGGGGCCCAACATCCTCTCTCTAGGCCCGTTGGCCCACCAACCGCCCCTACCAGTGAGCCCATAGCCTTTCTCTCTTAGGACCGGAAGCCCACCACTCTCCGATGGTTGGCCTCTTTTTAGGCCCATGGGCTCACCCCTGTCTGACGGTCGGGAATCGCTTGTTCCGGGAGGCTTGTAAGAGTTGTCTATTGTCCCTGCAATCACCACGTGATCTTTCTCCGTGCTATGTCCTCACTCGCACGGTACCGCAGACTACTTCCCGGTAGGTCACCCATCCTGAGATTACTCAAGCATCAGCACACTTAACTCTGGAGTTCTCTCAAGACACTCGACCAGAAAAGATAAGTGCACTTTGATGACATAGGTAGTCAAATCAATTCTTATAAGCCTTTTTCGCATATACCGGAAATCAGGATGTCACAATTCTCCCCGACTTCCAAGGAATTCGTCCTTGAATTCTCAACCACGTCCCAAGACGTTACCCGGGTCAGAGCCGGTTAGCTAACCTTGGCTCTGATACCAATTGTGAGACCCTGCTCCCTTCTTTCCTAACCGGGAACCAGACAGACCGGCTATCAAATCCATGAGACCCCGAATCCGCCTTTCATCTGGATTGGCTATCAACTTTGAACGCCCCCAATCGCCCCTACCAGTGAGTCTAATGCCGTATAATCTGGGGCCCAACATCCTCTCTCTAGACCCGTTGGCCCACCAACCGCCCCTACCAGTGAGCCCATAGCCTTTCTCTCTTAGGACCTTTGGCCCACCACTCTCCGATGGTTGGCCTCTTTTTAGGCCCATGGGCTCACCCCTGTCTGACGGTCGGGAATCGCTTGGTCCGGGAGGCTTGTAAGAGTTGTCTACTGTCCCTGCAATCACCACGTGATCTTTCTCCGTGCTATGTCCTCACTCGCACGGTACAGCAGACTTCTTTCCGGTAGGTCACCCATCCTGAGATTACTCAATCATCAGCACGCTTAACTCTAGAGTTCTCTCAAGACACTTGACCGGAAAAGATAAGTGCACTTTGATGACATAGGTAGCCAAATCAATTCTTATAAGCCTTTTTCGCATATACCGGAAATCAGGATGTCACAATTCTCCTCGACTTCCAAAGAATTCGT